GGGCAAAATGGCAGCCTCCCCACTCCCTTTCTCCAGCAAGGCCAGAGCTTTCCCCATAATAAGCCAAGTCTGCAAAAGGGGCTGCCCCACTCTACCCCCATTGCAACTTTCTGCTTAAATCTTCCTTGGAGGTGTCTGCCGCTATTGCATCAATCCAAGCCAAAAAAGGCGGCGGCGTTTCCCAACGCTTGGATTTTTGCAGAAGAAAAAAAAAATTACTTTTACAAATAAAAATCAAATAAAAGATTGCAGGCCTCCCCGTCGGGGAATCGAACCCCGGTCTCCCGCGTGACAGGCGGGGATACTTACCACTATACTAACGAGGAGGAGCCTTTTCGGAGGGTTCCAGTCACCCTCCTTGGAGGCAAAGCAGAGTCAACTTCTGGGACACGTTAAGCCAGAGGGGTCTTCCAACTTGGCCCTTTGATTGATGACTGGTGGACTTCAACTCCCAGAATTCCTCAGCCAGGCAAGCTGGCTGAGGAATTCTGGGAGTTGAAGTCCACCAGTCATCAATCAAAGGGCCAAGTTGGAAGACCCCTCTGCCTTAAGCCAAGGGTCCCCCTTCCACACGTTTCCTAGGCAAGAATCTCGTGCAAGAGACTCAAGCAGACGGGAGCGAGCATCAGCAGCCCATGCAACTTTGCATCCTTTGCAAAACACACACACACACACACACACACATATACACACACACAAAACCTCAGCTGAAGGGGCTTGGATGGGGGTCCTGCTTCCTTTTGGCTTCTTTCCAGGGTGCCACGCCAAAAAAAAAAAAAAAGAGTTTGCAAACACCACACACACACACATACACACACACACCCCAAAAAAGAAAAAAAAGTATCTGCCGAAACCCGGGATCGAACCAGGGACCTTTAGATCTTCAGTCTAACGCTCTCCCAACTGAGCTATTTCGGCTGATGTCATCCTCCTTCTTCGTTCTTCCTTTCAAGGCGCCGTCGCCGCCCTCTTTTTTTTCTTTGCAAATTGCAACCTGCCCCAGTGAATTATAACTCCCCCCTTTTCTTCAAAAGGAGCACCCCTGGATTTGCTAGGGAGGGGGTTACATTAGCCTCTAGACAGCTGGAGGGGTGCAGAAATCTTGTAGCCTCCCCCCCTGCCATCTTCTCTGGAGAACAGGCAGGGTTGCATGTTAGGTTTCTTTCTTTTTTTTTTTATCCGATCCATTGTACCTGTTTCATTGTAAGCCGCCTCGGGTCACCTGCGGGAGATGGAGGGCTGTATCAAACAAACGGATGAATGAATGAAAGAGCAAAGGAGCCTAAGATGCCAAAGTCACAGAATCCAATCAAGGGTAAAAAAAAAAAAGAATCTCTTTTTGCTGGGGTGGAATGAAGAGAAAAGAAAGCATGGTTTGGTTAGGGATTTGGGCTTCTTTCTGGAATTTATTTTATTTAAAAAAAAAAAAAAAAGTTGTGAGGTCTCCCCGTCGGGGAATCGAACCCCGGTCTCCCGCGTGACAGGCGGGGATACTTACCACTATACTAACGAGGAAGGACCCGAGCGCAGCATTCCGAAACAGCCCAGTTAAAGGTGCTGGTCCCAACCTCCTTCCTTCCTTCCTTCCTTCCTTCCTTCCTTGTCTTTCCTTCTTTCCTTCCTTCCTTCCTTGTCTTTCCTTCCTTCCTTCCTTCCTTCCTTCCTTCCTTCCTTCCTTCCTTCCTTGTCTTTCCTTCTTTCCTTGTCTTTCCTTCCTTCCTTCCTTCCTTGTCTTTCCTTCCTTCCTTCCTTCCTTGTCTTTCCTTCCTTCCTTCCTTCCTTGTCTTTCCTTCTTTCCTTCTTTCCTT